GGGGACACACACCTACACAAGGAACTATATTACAACATAGAATAACTTTATTGCCACTTTGAATGTACACTGATCCCCATACATTCAAATGAAATTTCGTTGCCTACAGCTCTATTGTTGCAGAAAATGACAGGCGTTAAGACTTCTCAGGATACAGGAAAAGTTTATTTGGCAGCCAGGTTCAGAAAGGTAGGCAATGGCTTAGCATTGCAAGTTCTGAACCACCTTCATTATCGAAGCACACGTTCTTATACATTCCCAAAAGCCTTGCAACATGGAAACACTTAAAACATTTCTTAGTGGTTCCCTTGAGGAGAGAAAGCCTTATAAGGAGATGGGATCTTACTTCTCCTTTTGTTTCAGGTATGTCTTACGTGTCATTAACGAACTTTAATCGGCTTAGAACATCTTGTGGTTAGGCACTGGCTTCCTGTTCTTTTGCAAGCTCCAACTCTGTCTATGTGGCTTTTAATATAGAAGTAAAGGGGCTCTGAGAGGCTGTCCAGCCTGACCCAGTAGGTTTCACACTTAATGTCCAAATCTCACTTTACTGTAAGGGCTATAGGTAAATACATAAATGCTATGTGCATAAATTCACAATTAATCACCAGCCCTTTGCACGTGTATTTATTTGTTTTAGGGTATATGGCCTATCATACATGGACTAGCAATATATATTAACATTTAATCCACATTTTTTGCACGTGGTTCAGACGTTACTGGCATCCCCAGCTTCTTTAGACGGGCAGCGTGTAGCCCCGCCCACAGGTAGGCGGAGTTCCCCCCCTCTGCCGTCCCACCAGTTAGGACGCATGCGCGGCAAAGGGACACGCGCGGCGCCTCCTTCAAAACCTCGCGGCCGTCCTTTCCTCCCCACCCCCCCGCGCAGTTCTCCCTTTGCTCGCTTCTGCGCATGTCCCGCTTTCCACCGCCGGCTTTTTTTTTTTTTTTTTTTTGGTCCCCTTCCGCGCAGGCGCAACTGTTTCTTCGTCCCTCTTGCTTGCTTGTTCTTTTCCTAGAACAGCCGCGTGTGCGGGCGGGGGGGGGGAGGGAGGACGCCTGCGCTCCGGCGCATGCGCGCGGGGAAGGTGAAAGGTCGGCAACATGGCGGCGGCCTCTTCAGGCGATGAAGCGCCGGACAATGAGGACTATTATTCGTTGCTGAACGTGCGGCGGGAGGTGAGGCGCTGAGGGGACGCGGCCACCTCCGGGGATCCGCTCCGGGGCATTCCGCGGGCCGGGAGGCGTGAGGGAGAACTGGCCGGAGAGGCTCGGCCAGTCATTGACAGGAGGGAAGCGGGCGGGGATGTCGGTCAAATGTATTAACTCTTGTGGGAGATGAAGTAGGAGCCTCCCGCTCTCTTGCTCCACGGCTGAGGAAATCTCGGTTTTGGGGGCTTTCCCGCCGAGGAGGGGCCCAAAAGGGAGGGGGGGGAGTTCTCTAGAGGTCATCTAGTCCAGCCCTTGGCCCACAGATAAGGTAGCCTTTATTGTCAGTTTTTCTGTGTACACCCTGGCAGGGACGAAGGATGAAATTCTGATGCTGGCTCTTAACAGGATGGATAGATGGATAGATAGAATATATCTATATATTGTATCTATATCTATCTGTTTATCTAAATATCTATCATCTATCTATTTAAATATGTATCTCAATATCTATCTATATA